TCCTTTCACAGCATGATAAGGAACATGGCTGACCAATCAATTTTAATGCTAAAGATTGAAGTATAGGAGCAGGAGACCCATGTGTAAACCACCAAATAAGTGGATCCAATATTCCTCCTATATCAATCTTTGAGTCAAAATCTCCAAACATATCTAAACCTCCAAAAAACTTGGCATATTCCTCATTTACAAGCCTTCTCTCCTCTAAGTTTGGAAAATATTTCTTGAAACATTTGTTTCTCATACTTGAAATTTCTTCCTCCCTATGAGGAGGGACACGATTGGGATTTTCATTAAGCCACGTTGAACTATAATACGTAGATTACAACATTAGAAAGTTTCAAAATTAAATTATGTTATTCATATTAAAAGACAAATGTGAACAAAGAAATCTAATTAGTAAGAGTATGAATTAAGTTATTATCTCGGATTCAAAGAATGTGCAAGGCAATAAAGAGGAGTGTTACTTTTGGCCCACCACTCAACTAGTATATTGTGCACAACGGAATAAAAGATTGATTCCTCATCATCTAGCTTCCCTTCATGCCTAAAGATGCTTGCCTTCACATTTTCAATCATGGTGTCCCACATTTCATAGACTAAGTGAAGGCATGGTTTGTTAGTGTCACAAAATCTAAGCATCTCATAGATAGGCAATGTAAAAGACAAAATGTGATCAATATTATCCCACTACACACCATTCAATAATTTTTTCTTCACAGATGTTGCTTTCCCAACATTGTCTTCTTTGTAAGAAACCACTGGTCACTAATAACCATTGATTGGAGGCCACGCTTTATAAGTTTAAACCTTTTGAGCATGACAATGGCAGATGCAAAACGTGTGTTCGCAACAACAAGCAACTTCAAGGGTACGAATTCATTGATAATAGCTAGCCTCATGGAATGGTTCATAATGAAGTTTTTGATAAACATCACATCATCAACACAAAGTGTGATCCAGTGATATTCATCATAAGCAAAAGAAGTACCTCCTGTTTCCATTGGAGCACAAATATTCTTAAGAGCAAGATTCATGGTGTCCAAAAGATATTCGGGTACTTACTTTCAATGAGTAAACCAGCTGCACTACACACGGGAGCATTATTTGTGATGACTTGAATGACATTCTGATGTCCAATTTCTTCAATTGCTTGACTAATTAAGTTGGAAATAAAAAACTTGTCTTTGTGCTCACCTTCACAATTAACAACTTTCAAGAACACTGCCCTAGCTTCTGATGCTCCCATAAAATTAATAAGGGGCCTTCTTTGAGAATCAGTCCATCCATCTGAAACAATACTGAACCCTTTTTCCTTCCATGATGGTCTAGTTGGCTCCAACCTCTCTACATTAGCCTTTTCCTTTTGAAGTAATGTAATCCTTAACAAGTTATAACCGGGTGGTACATAACCAGGAATTGGATTGTTGGCAGCAAATTGAAAAGCACTAACATAATATGGGTTCCTTGATAAATGAAATGGTAACTCCGCTGAATAAAACATGCGAACAATCTCAGAATGCAATTGTTCCCAAATAATAGGGTTGAATGCCTTTTCTAGAGCAGAATTTCCAGTAGCCTTTCTTTTTCTTCGCTCATACTCCTCCATCCTAAATCCTCCAATATCTAAAGGCCCTAAACCTGTTGAAGTAGATTGGCAAGTGGAAGGTGGTAAAGGAACATTTTTAGACATAGCCATCTTTAACCTTTTCTCGGCTTTTTCAATTTTCCCTTGCATTTCAGCAAGGTGTTGAGGAGTCACTTTGGGGCACACTCTAATCCTATGGCCAGAAAGTTTTAACAAATGTGCCTTGACCCTAAAGTATGACTTTTTGTACTCATTTTGACAGTAATTGCATTTAAACTTGGTATTACCACATCCTTCTCCCATTTTTTCCATTTTTGTAACATAACACCAAAGAGGAGCATGATCATCTTCTTCCATTGGTGTACCACTTGTTGAACCTAAACTTCCCGTACCCGAACTCATTTCCTAAAATTTATAAATTTGGTAAAGAAATAAAACAAAACATTAATATAGTTATCTTTTGGCATGAACATCAATTTTTTTTTTTCAGCAATTCAATTAAATTTCAGCAATTTCAACAATATAGCATCACCCATAACAACTATAATGTAATTTAAATTAAGGGGGAAATTTTTTTACCCTTTCAATGATAAAAAAAAAATACCTCACAAGGCTCTTTGATGTTGTCTTTTGAGGAAATAAAAATTGGATACTAGTAGCTTAGCTTAGTTGCAAAAAAAAAAAAAAAACAAAAAAAAAAACAAAAGAAATTCATAGGGGTTAGTACAGTGAGAGGGAGAGAGATTGAGTGAGAGGGAGAGAGAGAGAGAGAGAGAGTGAGATCGAGTGATAGAAAAGTGAGAGAGCGAGAGTGAGAGAGGACGAACCTTGATTGATGACGACGACTCCGAGTTGCTGTTGTTCGCGAATCGCGATAGAGATGACGACGACTCCTCAGAGTTGTTGCTGTTGTTCGCGTTAGAGGCTAGGGTTTGTTTGATTTTTTTTTGTTTTATTTTAGATAGCTTTTGTTATTTTACACTTTGACCCCATTACAAGTTTTTAAAATTTTTTTTCCCCCCGTATTCTGAAAGTATCCCAAGCGTATCCTTGAAGTATCCTCGCGTACCCCAAACGTATCCGAAATTCAAAAAAAAAAAAAAATTTGGGATACTTCTTTGCCGTATTTGATACGTATCCCGCTGTATCCGACGCCTATCTGTATCCGATACGTATCCGATATGCGTACGGGGGCCATTTCGGAGTATCCGTGCTTCATAAGGGCTACACTTTTGAAGTTCTCTTTCCGCGTAAAAGAGAAAATTAGGACGGCTAAATTATATAGCCACATCAATGCTGGAATATTAAATTTGATAATGGGCTTTTAGCCTCCACTGCCTTTCTGAGTGATGAAAATGGTATTTGTTTAAGTGTGGGAGGTAAGGCTCCTTGATGATCAAATATGGTGGGCTGAGACTTTTAACTTGTAGATTGCATATTGGGCCTTAAAGAATGGATTTAGATTAAGTTGGTTCAAGTTTTTGGCTGATGTTGGTGTGAAATCAAAGGACGATGCTTTCTGGAAAGTCTGGACAGCAAGGAGAGTAACGGATTTTAAGGGTTAGAAATGCAAATGTAATTATGGTTAGGATTTTGGGAATTAAATTAGGTTTAGGGAAGGGCTGATTGTGGTTATTCAATAGGAAAAATATCCAATAAGTCCTATTCTTCCAATGAAATTCCCATAAAGTCCTATTAACACTATGGTGAGAGAGTTGATTCATGTGTTAATACGACTTAGTGGAAATTTCATTGAAAAGTAGGACGTATTTGATATTTTTCCTATTCAGGGGGTGTTTGGGAAGAAAAAAAATAGCCTAATTTAGGCTAAAATTCACAAAAAGACAAAATAGGCTAAAATAGCAAATAAGACAAAATATCACATCAAACCCATAATCATTTCACTTTTTCTCTCACAAACATCACATCCAACCATAAAAAAATCCAATCATCTTCCCAAACACAAAAATTTTAGCCTACTAAAATAGCCAAAAACTAAAATAGCCTACTAAAATAGCAACTTCCCAAACGAAGCCTCAATATGTACATTGCTGCTAAATGAAATTAGAGAAGAAGACCAAGAGAAGAAAGAGAGTCAAGCCATCAGAATTTCTCTAATCCAGGCCTGTAAATGGATCAGATTCAGACTGGATTGGGGGTTTATCTTTTATCTGACCCGTTAAATAAAAACAGTGATCTAGTCCAATCTGTTAATTTGATTGTCACAGGCTCACAGCTATTTCAATATGAATGGGGATTTATTAGCATTTAGATCTCTGTTCTGGAGCTGCTTCTTATTGGTTTCAATCCAAGGTTTGTTTATAGAACACAAGTTAGAAAGAGAAAGCATTTGTATATCAACAAGGAACATCATTACCCAACGAGAGCAGAAGACTTAGTTCAGAAACCATTGGTCACTGGGGCATATGAAGTGGATTTAGTGACAGAAAAGGTCCAGAATACTGACTGCGACCGTGTTGACTTTGGTAAATTTGGATGTGTTAAGGCTAACCTTATTTGCTTTCTCTACATACATATAATGTTACATGGAGAGACATAAAGTATCAAGCACAACGCATGTGAGCCAGAAAAGGGGCAGAAAGTACCCAAGTGGAAGGCAGAAATGTAATTGAGACTTAAGGTACTTGCTCATGAGAAGAAGAGGTGGATGGATTTATTTGAGTAAACCCTAACATCTTTCTACTTTTTAAGCAAACTATTGGTCTTGTATAAATTTAATCATAGATGTTTAAGAATATGACGTGTGTATATACAATACTTGTTATGGATAGGTATATTGTTGGATCAAATAATGTCTAATCTGAGTTGAATGGTTCATCAAGTTAATAATCGGAAATTTCTTCTTCTTCATTAGGATTAGTAAATATAACATCACCTTCAGATTTGGAACTAATTCAATGATAGGTTACTCTAATGGTTTTAGGGAGTCTCATGTAAGAGAAATAAATGATGTCTCATCTTTGAAAGGGAGCAAAATCTGCAAAGTATTATTAGTAGACAAAATAGTTCAATTATTTGTGACTACAAAAAGTGTGCCTAGGCAGAAACATAGAATCCTATCTAATGGACAAGGAATTTTTTTGAATCCTCCATGAAAACTGATTTCGTAGATTATGAAGGCTAAACTAATTTTGAATAATAAAGAACTGTATGGTAAAAAGCACAAACACATACACATTCCTATGCGTGTTTTCCCATTATTATTGTTTATTATTATTATTTTTTAATTTTCTGTTAGACGTACTCAAATAATGGAAGGGTTTTTGTGTGAGATAATTGATGTTAGTTAACTTGTAAAGTTAGTATTCTATTGTTGCTTCTTCTTTCAATATTTTTTTAGTTTTTATTCTAAAACTCTTTATTATTTGAATATGTATCTGATATGCTGTAGGGGGGCACAAGTGGTTGCATACACTGCTATATTTTCTTGTGGGAACTATCAGGGTGTCGCTCGTTTGGCCAAGGCAAAAGGCTTGGCAGTTCCAATCGCCCATAAGAAGGTATCTTGTTGGTGATTTCAGTTTATTATGCACTTTTGGGATTGATAGTTGCACATTATTGGTAGGTTCTGATGAGCCAATCTATAGTTTGATAATCTGTTGAAGTGTTAACAATTTGAACAGAGTTGATATAAAAGCTGACAGATCAGATTCGATGTAGGCTGAAAAATATTGATTATATATATGCTATATATTACACTAATGTGCAAGATCACACAAAAAAGTAGATCTAAGTGATGGAGAGAATTCTAATTTACTCCCATTTTTAGGCATGTAAAGCTGAATCCTCATTTTTTAGTGGCTGAAGCCTGTTTAAATTGGCGGATCTTGTGGAAGTATTGTACCAAATTGTCTCTTGGTGGTAGCTTTCTTTGGTCATTGATAACCTGAGGAAGTCCTCCAACATGTCTTGAATTAGGGATAGTTGACCGAGTCAAACACTTTCATACATGAAACTTGCTCAATTACTTCAAGCCATATAGCGATCCAACCAAAGGAAATTTCTAACAGCCCAATAGTTTCACCTCCAAAGAACTTCTTGCCCTTGAGCTCTCCTTCAAGGATTTTGTAGGCTGCATCTGCTCGGTTCACTTCCCTCTCTTCTTCTTCTCCATCCAGAAATAGCACTTTCCTATTCACTTCAGAAAACTATAACAATAGAAGTAAAATCATCATTACGAACAAGCCAGACGATTCTTTGTTTAATAGAATAAAATACAGGTTTTTGTATGTAGAGCACACTATCACATCAGTGGTGCTGATTATTTGATGCAGTTCTTGTATTATTTTGTACTTATTATCTATGGAGCATAGATACTTCTAAAAGAGTATCTTATTATCAGATACCGTTACTCCTTGGATACGTATCCAATACTTTCTAAACATTTCCAATACTTGATGTTAATTTTGAAAAGGATCATATATTTTTTGGACACTCTTGGTCACGTATCCAAATTATTATAAAAATTGAAATTGAAATATTTTTTGCCTAGTATTAGGGTATAATTGTTAGAATAAATACAAGAATAGTTTTTCAATATTTTCTTGTTTCTTATCGAAGGAAGAAGAAAATAGTGATATTAAAATTGTACTCTACTTTTTTAGATTTGATCAAATTAATATTTCGATTGAAAATAAAGGTAAACAAATTATTGACTCTTAAACTAATATCTAATTTCTAAAAAAATAGTTTCCAACTATTCTTTGAGCTTATGTATAATATTTTCTTGTTCCGTATTGAAGGAAGAAGAAAATAGTGAGATTAAAATTGTACTCTACTTCTTTAGATTTGATCAAATTAATATGTTGATTGAAAATAAAGGTAAGCAAATTATTGACTCTTAAACTAATATCTAATTTCTAAAAAAATGGTTTCTCACTATTCTTTGAGCTTATATATAATATATTATAAAAAATTATAATTATTTTTTACGTGTATCCTATTATTATTATTATTATTATTATTATTATTATTATTATTATTATTATTATTTAATTATATTTTAATTTTTAATTTTTTATATGGTATCAGTATCCATACTTCATACTATGAACACTTAATTATGTAATGCAATACTTCCTGACAATAAAATTGTAATAGGCAGTGAAGAAGATGAGGTGCCGTTTCTTCCACAAACTTATGGCTCTGTGATAAGGTTCCTTGGGCAATATAGGGTTTTTCTGTTTCTAGGTCTCGTCGAGGTAGATTGTTGGAGCAATCTTCTGTGTAAATAAAATAAATTGAAACTAAATCAAACAAAATAAATAAAAAACGTACCGAATTTATTTATCGAACCAAATTAAAAAATAAAAGACCAAGTCGCGTGTGTGACACTCTGTCCTTAAGACAGATTCGCCCCACTACGGTTCTTACGGTTGAGTGGCGTCTATCTCTTAGGATACAATGATCTTCATAAATTTGTAGAAGCATTTCAAACAAATTTGTACGGCGAACTAGAACTTTGTGTTCTATATGCTCTTTATTATTTCTTAAAATTATATATGAAGAATAGATGCAATGGAGCAAAATTGGACAGCAAAAGATGGGATTTACAGACTGATTTTCTCATCTTCTAACATTGCTGGAATGTTGGTATTTATAGGCACAAAAAACCTTGTCCGAATAGGTGTGAATCTGTCCAACAGATTCAGTTATGAAAGTGAACAGATGTAACCTGTTTTGAATTCAAACATGTTCTGTCTGTTGCACTTGGAACAGTTTTATTCAAACAATTTAAAAAAGTATCCGTTGGTGGACAATGTTTTAAACTGTTGGAATATTTTTTTATTAAACTATTTGAATAATTTAATCAATAAAGCCGTTGGTGGAACAGTTTTTAAACTGTTTGGAATATTATTATTAAACTATTTGAATAGTTTAATCAATAAAAGAAGAGGTGCAATATTTAGGAAATCACTTAAGAATCCAAAATTTGAATTTAGATTTAAATTAAATTCCCACAATATTTTTTTATTGAAAAAATTCAAATGAATTTTATTTAAAAAAATTAATGTTAGACTCGAAAATGATGTTAACTTCCCATTTACTCATAAATGGTTTTGACGCTCCGTCTTCACCGTGTGACTTGTCATGCGGTAAGGAACACTTCACCTCTTCGGACCCACCCCAAAAGATGTTTGGGGTCTACTCAATTTTGGGCTCAAAGATGGCCAAAAATATGCCTATATTAAACTATTTTTTTTAATTAATGAAAATTCATAAAATAATTTTTAAAAACCAAAATTAATTTCTGAAAAAATTCATCAAACAAGCACTCTTTACTCACCGCAGCAAAATGAAATTGCTGAATGGAAAAATAGGACTCTAAAAGAAATGATGAATGCCATGTTAATAAGTTCTGGATTACCTCAGAACTTGTGGGGGAAACAATACTTTCTGCGAATTATGTTTTAAATAAAGTACCCCAAAAGAAAGTGAATTAAACACCTTGTGAATTGTGGCATGGAAGAGTACCATCCTACAAATACTTAAAAGTGTGGGAGTGTTTGGTTAAAGTGGCTATTCCTAGTACTAAAAAGACTAAGATAGGTCCTAAGATCATTGATTGCATTTTCATTGGTTATGCCAAGAATAGTAGTGCATATTGGTTTTTGATTCATAAATCAGAACATTTCGAAATGCATATAAATACTATTATTGAATCTCGGAATGCATCTTTCTTTGAACATATATTTCCAAATAAGACTGGACAAGAGACTAGTAATAATAAGAGATCTTTTGATGCTATTATTAGTAATGATTAAGAACATGATCAAGAACATGAGTTAGATCAAAATGAGGAAGATGAACTTAGGCGTAGTAAACGTATTAGAACCTCAAAATCTTTTAGTCTAGATTTTCTAACATATTTTGTTAGAAAATAAACCTTTAACTTTTAAAGAGGCTATGTCCAGTCCTGAGACTCCTTTATGGAAAGAAGCTATCAATATCAATAGTGAAGTTGAATCCATCTTGCAAAATCACACTTGGGAATTGGTGGATTTGCCACCAGGTTGTAAACCTCTTGGGTATAACTGGATTTTCAAAAGAAAATTGAAAGCGGATGGATCAATTGACAAATACAAGACAAGACTTGTGGTCAAAAGTTTTAGACAAAAAGAAGGTCTTGATTACTTTGACACATACTCACCGGTTATTAGAATAACATCCATTAGAATGTTAATTGCCATTGCATTTTTATACAATGTAGAAATTCATCAAATGAATGTAAAAATCGCTTTCTTAAATGGTGAGTTAAATGAAGAAATTTACATGAAACGAGAAGGTTTTTCTGTTCTAGAAAAAGAAAAGAAAGTGTGTAAATTGGTTAAATCATTATATGGTTTAAAACAAGCGCCAAAGCAATGGCATGAGAAATTTGACAAGGCAATGATGTCAAATGGATTTAAAATTAATGAGTGTGATAAATGTGTTTATATTAAAAACATAGACAAATATTATGTCATTGTATGTCTTTATGTAGATGATATGCTCATCATAGGTAGTAATAATGATATGACTAAAACTACTAAAAAAATGTTGAATAAACATTTTGACATAAAGGACATGGGCATTGCTGATGTAATTCTTGGTATGAAAATTACCAAAACATCAGAAGGTTATGCTTTGTCACAATCTCATTACATTGAGAAAATACTTGACAAATTCAGTAAAGATGATGATCATCTTGCTAGAATACCGGTAGATGCTAATTTGTTTCTATCTAAGAATGTACAGGAAAGTGTTTCTCAATTAGAGTATGCCCAAATTATTGGAAGCTTAATGTACTTGATGAACTGCACTCGCCCGGATATAGCTTATACAGTAAGTAAATTAAGTAGATATACGAGTAATCCGGGAGTAGAACACTGGAAAGCAATTATAAAGGTTCTAAGATATCTCCGATTTACTCGTAACATTGGGTAGAATTATACTAGATATCCAGCAGTACTTGAAGGATACTGTGATGCAAATTAGATATCGGATACTAGAGACTCAAAGTTCACCAGTGGGTATGTCTTTACTCTTGGTGGGACGGCTGTATCTTGGAAATCTTCCAAACAGATTTGCATTGCTAGGTCTACTATGGATCATAATTCATAGCATTAGACAAAGTAGGGGAAGAAACAGAATGGCTTTGCCACTTCCTTGAAGATATTTCAATTTGGCTAAAACCGGTGCCTACTATATGCATACATTGTGATAGTCAATCAGCAATTGGTAGAGCACAGAGTCATATATATAACGGTAAGTCTCGAAACATTCGTCGTCGACATAATACCGTAAGACAACTACTCTCTAATGGAATTATTTCCATTGATTATGTGAAGTCTAAAGACAGCATAGCGGATCCACTAACCAAAGGATTAGCAAGAGAGCTAGTTGAGAATTTATCGAAAGGAATGGGACTAAAGCCTATTAAATAAGAGTTACCACAACGGTAACCCAACCTAGTTGACTGGAGATCCCAAGATTTAGGTTCAAAGGGACAACCGAGTTGTGATTGACTCAGAAGGATCACTAAGGAGTCCAACTCCTACCCATTTCTATGATGATAGAGTGATGTCTACAGCGTTTTAGGTTAAGTAATACTTTTAATGATTCTTATATCTAGGTATACCTAATGAGTATGGCAGGATACTTTTCATAAGAATCACCTATATAAGCGTGAGCTGGGCCGGTTCTATGAGATTTGTGAAGGGCTTCAATTCTCTAGAGCACTCATGAAAGACTAGGTTGTTCAGGGCCAAAATGAACACAATAGTGAGAATTAAACTGTGTTTGGAAATATACTGTGTGAGTTCTATTGTCTTAGTTTACACAAACGGCTGAACAGTTTAAGACATCATGTTCACTGGTTAGTTGGTAAATTCGATAGTGTCTCACAAGGGAAGGTTCGAAGCCAAAAGTTATCTATCCTTTGCAGAATATTTTCAATTTCTGTACTCTCTATTATTAGATCATGTTGTTGGATTTTCTCTTCGTCAAATTCCATTCATGTGGGGGATTGTTGGAAAAATGGTTTAATATAGGCATATTTTTGGCCATCTTTGAGCCCAAAATTGAGTGGGCCCCAAACGTCTTTTGGGGTGGGTCCGAAAAAGTGAAGTGTTCCTTGCCGCGTGGCAAGTCACACGGTGAAGACGGAACGTCAAAATCATTTATGAGTGAATGGGAAGTTGACATCGTTTTCGAGTCTAACATTAATTTTTTAGACAAAATTCATTTGAATTTTTTCAATAAAAAATATTGTGGGAATTTAATTTAAATCTAAATTCAAATTTTGAGTTCCTAAGTGATTTCTTAAAGATTGTACCTCTTCTTTTATTGATTAAACTATTCAAATAGTTTAATAATAATATTCCAAACAGTTTCAAACTATTACACCAACGGCTCTATTAATTAAACTATTCAAATAGTTTAATAAAAAATATTCCAACAGTTTAAAACATTGTCCACCAACGGATACTTTTTCAAATTGTTTGAATAAAACTGTTCCAAGTGCAACGGATAAAATCTGTTTGAATTCAAAACAGGTTGCATCTGTTCACTTTCAAAACTGAATCTGTTGGACAGATTCACACCTATTTGGACAGAGTTTTTTGTGCCTATAAATACCAACATTCTAGCAATGTTAGAGGATGAGAAAATTAGTATGTAAATCCTATTTTTTGCTGTCCAATTTTGCTCCATTGCATGTATTCTTCATATATAATTTTAGGAAAAAATAAAGAGAGTATAGAACACAAGGTTCTAGTTCGCCGTACAAATTTGTTTGAAGTGCTTCTATAAATTTGTGAAGATTATTGTATCTTGGAAGATAGATGCCACTCAACCGTAAGTACCGTAGCGAGGCGAATCGGTTTTAAGGACAGAGTATTACACACTCGACTTGGTCTTTTATTTTTTAATTCGATTCGATAAATAAATTCGGTACATTTTTTATTTATTTTGTTTGATTTAATTTTAATTTATTTTATTTATACAGAAGATTGTTCTATTTGATGATGACTAGGGATTCAGCAACGGGTTTGCCATTGTTAAGCAAGACGGGCTTTCTTATGGATGGGATTGCAGTCGAGAATGAGGGAGCTCTTGTTGGTCAGATCTTGTTCCAGGTACTAGTACCGGATGCCCTTCGGCTTCAGAAGCCCATTTGACCTGCAGACATATGGACTGAACCATGCCCAAATCAGCTTTGAAGGATACTGTGATGCAAATTAGATATCGGATTTCCTGGGATTTTTGGATTCATAATAAGCTTATTGCACATCTTCATTTCTTGTTATATAGACCACTGTCCACATAGAGGAAATGAAAAAAATCCTACTCCTACCATTAATTTTTGTGTAAACTACACTCATCTCCCTTAAAATTCAAAGAAAATACAGTTAATCCAGATGTATTCGTTTTTAGATTGATGCATGCCTACCTAATGTAGTAAGGTTGGGCCAATTGTTTTTCTTACGTCCAATCAATAACGGGCCACCCCTTTTGCTCGATGTTTTGCTTTTAGGTCACCTGCTACTTGTTTGGGATAATCTATGAAAGTAAAAAATTATTAAAAAAATCAAAAAATTATTAAAAAAGTCAAAAAGTTCATATTATTTGAAAGAAGTCTGGATGACAAAATTATTATTTTGCCCTTTGAATTCAACTATCCAGAAGTCAAAGGATGTGTTTGATTTGATTTTGAGAGATAATTTTTTTTTAAAAAAAAATCTTAGGGAAATTTTTAATATTTATTTTTGTCAAACTAATTTTTTTTAGTTTGTTTGGTTGTATATTTTGAAAATAGTTTTGGAGTGTGGGAGTTTGGGATGATTTGATATTTTGTTGTAGTTGAGTAGATATGTGTGAAGGAAAAAGTGATTGAGGAAGAGAGATGAGAGAGAAAAAGTGATTAATTGATGTATAAGAGATAGAAAATGATTTTGGAAATCACTAAACCAAACAAAATTTAAAAAAAATTTCTCCAAAATTTGTTTTTCCAAAACAAACCAAACAAGGCCAAAAAGTTTAAAGTTTAAAGTCAAAAAGTCAATAAGGGTATAATGGTCATTTTGATTTTATTGTAATATTTTATTACACATCTATTCATAAAAAGTGAAAAAGTTATCTCAAACGTACATCTTTTTTTTTTCCCTCTGCTTTTTTAGCTAAAAAAATCAATAAGTATACTTATATAGCACATCTCAAATATAAAAAAGCGAAAACGTACATACTATTTGGAGAAAGCTTGTCAGGGAAGTTTAGAGGGAAAAATTATTATTGTGCCTTTTGAATTCAACTATCCAAAAGCTAAAAAGTTAACAAGGGTATAATTGTCATTTTAATTTTACTACAATATTTATTACACATCTTTTTGTAAAAAGTCAAAAAGTTATTTCAAAATACGTTTTTTTTTCTCTATTTTTTTAGTAAAAAAGTATACTTATATAGTATGTTTGGAAAGTTACTATTTTAGTAGGTTATTTTAATTTTTGGCTATTTTAGTAGAATAAAATTTTTGTGTTTCGGAAAATGATTAATTTTTTTTATAATTAAATGTGATGTTTGTGAGAGAAAAAATGAAATGATTATGGATTTGATGTGACATTTTGTCTTATTAATTATTTTAGTTTATTTAATTTTTTTTTGGGGGTAGATTTTAGTCCAAATGAGGCTAAAATCTCATTTCCCAAACAGTCCAGTAGCACATCCCAAACAACCTTCTTACGAGGGATAAGATTGTCCAAGTATCCATCCAGGACAATTCATAAAAAATAATAAATGTTTGTTGTATAGTTCAAATTGCCTAAATTTTGAAATGATCTTTTTGTATATAATCAAATTAAATTTTAACGATTAGTGATTTAGACAATAGTCTTCAATTGAATCACATTAGCTGAAATTAAAAATGTAGAGAGATGTAAGAGGTGGGTTTGGTTCTATGTTCGAGAGAAATAAATTGAACGAAAAAGTGAGAAAATGGCTCTGTTTGGTAGAGCTGTGGGAAAGTGCTTATAGCTTATGCCTTAACAGCTTATAGCTTATAACTATGAATATAAGTTGATTTCTGACTTATAAATTAAGCATATCCTGCTCCATTCAAAGAATAAGCTGATTTCTGACTTACAAAAAGGTATAAGTTGCATTATTAAGCTAAACCAAACATATCAAAATAGCTTAAATTAAACTGAAAATTAAAATAAGCAGCTTTTAAGCTGCACCAAACAGGCATAATGTTGACTTCCGCTGTGGCGAAGCTAACCATCACTAGGGTGGAGCTTCCTAGAATTTTCTCCCAAAACAAGTCACTCTAGTGCCAACCCTAGGCCCAAACTCTGCTTCCTACAGTCCAAATAAAATGGTCCATTCTAAAGCGACAAGGACAATCAAAATAAAATGCAAAGGTGATGCGACACTCATATAAAATGAATTTAAAAATCTAAATTGTTACAAAGGTTAGACGAACACATTTTCTCTCCAACAAAGTAAATCTTGTCATTTACTATTGTACAAATGCCACTTCAGAAGTCATACGTTAATGCCTTTTACTTATATAGCATTTTTTTTTTGAAAATTGATTTAGTTAATTGATTTAGTTAGTTTGAGTAACAGACTATATGGAATTTGATTGGAGTACACACTAGCTAAAATGATTAGGCTAAATAAAGATTGTACCTTTTTGTGTACTACTACTAGGAAAAATGCCTCACAGTGTTGGAAATTTTTTACAGTGAATTTTGGTGTAATAATCTTGCAATGGTGATTTAAGAATGGTTTAAACTCGACAATACAATCAATTGAGTGATTAAGGATTTGAACCACCACAATGAGGTTATTGCTAAGAATCCTAATTCGTATTGGAGTTACTCTATGCTGCATCAAAGAGGACTTGTGATTGATTATTACCATGTTGTTTAGTTGTGAGATTGTGGTTGACGTGTATAAGTCCATAAAGGTCACGAATCACTATGAACAATCCAAGCTCATCACTTAGAGCCCAATGTATAACCCAACTGGTGAGGTCTAGGACAGTTGGAGTCCAACATGGCATAAAGAACCAATGACATTCAGACACACGGCAGGTGAAGGACGAGCCACATCAGCAGACAAAGATCTGCAAAGTTGTTGCCACTACACATCACCATTAATACAGCCCATCACAGCATTTATTATGACAACACCTCTTCGTCGGAATAGGACCCCCTTACCCTGAACAAGGTAAGCTACAACATAGACTTTCGGCGAGGAGGGCAGATCGGAAGGGACAGCGAAATGATTATCAAAGGATATAAGCAAACGTTGAAGACAAGAAGAAGGTTAAACTTTTCTATCTCTAATCTCTCCCTTTACACTCTACTTCTCTTCCTAACTTGCTCGTCGGAGGGTTCATTGGGGGACTACCCCATAGACTTTCGGCGAGGAGGGCAGGTCGGAAGGGACAGCGAAATGATTATCAAAGGATATAAACAAACGTTGAAAACAAGAAGAAGGTTAAGCTTTTCTATCTCTAATCTCTCCCTCTACACTCTACTTCTCTTCCTAACTTGCTCGTCGGAGGGTTTACTGGGGGACTACCCCGTTCCTCGTTGAACTTGTTTGCAGGTTATCCGGTGGGCTTGATCATTTGGACCTGGGCTTGAGGAGCTTGCACCAGTCCGATCCATTCACTGGGACAAACTGTATCATCAATTGGCGCCGTCTGTGGGAACTGGTTCTTATCCGGACGCCAGTTGTGCTCATTGTCGCCGGAGACCCTGTCTTAACAACCTTTTCCTTCTACCCATCCAAGTGTATGGTCACGACTAGATCCATGGCTTCTCACCATAATGCTGCCGACCATCAAACCAACCCTCCCAATCCAAACAACCCACCACAGTATATCATTGAGCTTACCAACAGCATTAATCGCATAGCCGAATAAAACCAGGCTCTGATAAATGCTTTACTCCAAAGAAACCTTCCGATGCCTCCTCCACCACCTCTAAATATCCCACCGAACCAAGAAAGAGCCCCGAGCCATACTGTTTTGCAACCCTATCCATCCAACTTGGAAGGTTTGCAACCTCTCCCCCTGCATATAAATCTACCACCTCCACTCCCACACCCTTCGGTCGTGGCACCAGCCCTTGAAGGGGAAGCCAGCAGCGTCCAGCCCACATTGACTAACGATGGCGACCACATTCCCCTCTGGGATGTTGAACTCCGAGCAATGAAGCTTCAGCTCCAAGGGGTCATGCAGAACATTCAGCATAAACCCTCTACCACGGCAAGCTCACCATTTGTTGCCTCAATCCGGGACAAATCTCTGCCCGCCAAGTTCAAGATGCCCACCATTGACTCTTTTGACGGTACAACGGATTTAGTCGACCATCTGGAGACTTACCATACCCTCATGATCCTCCATGCCTTTCCTGACGAGATCTTGTGTCGGGCTTTCCCTGTGACACTGAAGGGGTCAGCTCGACTGTGGTTCAGCCAGTTACCAGCAGACTCTGTCTCCATTTTTCAGCATCTCAGCGACTCCTTCTTTAGCTATTTCATTGGAGCTCAGCGCCAACGCCGCCCTGCAACCCAACTCCTCAACATCCGTCAGACCGAAGGGGAGTCGCTGCGCAGTTTCGTTACCCGCTTCGACACCGAAGCCCTGCAGGTAGCAGAAAACGATGACAAGGTCATCCTCACGGCTTTCATGGCCGGGCTACGATCATCCGATTTCCTCTTCTCCTTCTCCAAAAACCCCCCGACCTCCATGGCCGCCCTACTCTCCAAAGCCCAGAAATACATGAATGCCGAAGATTCACTAGCCGCTTGGCAGGATCCAATATCTAAAAACCCGACCCCCAGAGAAAAGAGAAAGGACTCAGAACCCAGAAACACCCAGTATAACAACCAAACACCCCACTATACCGACCGACCTCCTCGCGCTAACCGGTCGGCACCAGCCCGACTGCCCTGTCTGTTCGAGCGGTATACGTCCCTTAATTCTCCCATGGAACAAGTCCTCCACCAGATCCAATGGGACTGCCCCCTCAAATGGCCCATACCCTCACGGACCCCTTTCAACCGGAAAGACCAGTCCAAATATTGTCGTTTTTACCAGGACCATGGCCACAACACTGATGACTACATCAACCTCAAGGATTAGGTCGAGACCCTCATTCGTCAAGGGCGTCTCAACCGGTTCACGGACACCCGCCCACAG